GCCGCTCCCCGCGTTGCGCTGAATCGCTGTGTCCCGGCGCATCCTGGGGCTCCGGGGAGGAGTCGGCTCCAGGCATCAAAACTCAGCCCCGGGGAGGTTCATGAGCATGGAATCACAGGCTGGTTTGGGTTGGAAGGGTCCTTAAAGCTCATCTCGTTCCACTCCCTTGCCATGGGCAGGGACACCTTCCACTAGACCAGGTTGCTCAGAGCCCTGTCCAACCTGCCCTTGGACACTTCCAGGGATGGGGCAGCCACCACATCTCCAGGCCACCTGTTCCAGTGTTTCACTACTGTAAAAAATATCTTCCTCATATCTAGTCCAAATCCACCTTAGATTAGTTTAAAACCAGTATCCCTTGATGCCTCACGACAAGCCCTTTTAAAAAGTTTGTACCCATCTTTCTTAAAAGCCCCTCTAAATACTGAAAGGTGACAAAGCAGCAGCCTGACAACGTGAGGCCACAGAGATGCACGAACCCTGTGACACTTCTGAGTGCCACCCCAACCACCAATCCATTAATTTATGGCAGTCTGTGGTACAGAGGCACTGACTCGCTCTTGGGGCCGTTAGATGATGATGCAGAGGAAGGAAGGGGATTGAAATTGTTCCCATCCATGCCTGATCTTCAGATGCTTAAACCAGAGTGCTTCCCTGGGCTTTTTGATGGAAGAGGAGATGGAAATTTCAGGCCACAATGCAGGGAGATAACCCCAGATGGACAGGGATGGCAATCCAGCAGTTCAACCCAGGCAGTTCTCATTTTCTGCCTTGTGACCTGCTGCCTTTCATCTCTTGGCAGGGTCTCTCCACCATTTCATCACACCCTGAAGCAACAAAACCATCTCCTTTGCTCCAGGGCTGGACTACAAGGTTCCTTTCCTGGCAGTAGCACCGAGTTTACTTTTCCCTGAGCTGAAACTTCATTTCCTGACTCTTTTGCAATGCTGAGCCCAACTGCTGCGACCGGCACATCTCACACACCCTCTGCACAACCTGCCTCCTGCTCCTGCCTCTGCCAGACCTGCTCTGATTTTGCAGAGCACTGAGGAACAGCTTTGCCTTGCCCTGTTGGAAAAGCTGCTGCAAAAGTCTAGAGCCAGATTCCTGTGGGCCTCTTTTAACCTAATGGGACAATTTCTGGAGGGAAAGTTGCTGTTAGCAAAAAGCACATCTTGTTCCTTTGCTTTTACAGCCAGGTTTCCATTAGCACCCATCACTACCTGTCATTTTCCAACCAGTTCCAGACAGCCCTCAGCAGGATCCCTCCAATTCCAGGTTTGAGCAAGCCTGATGCCAACATATCTTTTATAAATCCAGCATTTTTGAGCATTAAGAAATTTAGCTGTGCTCATCCCAAGCTTCGCAGCAGGAAATCCTGACAATCCTCTGATGTGCCCGATCCTAACTCTTAAAAAAAATACAACCATCATCTGATTTTTCACAGGAATTTTTGCTTTTTTGAGTTGTCCATCTTACCAGCAGCTGTACCCAGGGTACAAACCAACCTAGGGCAGAAAGGCAACCAAGTCAAAGCCTCCTTGGCCAACAGAAGACAACAGGTGGCTGCCATTAGATTTAGAGCAGGTCTGCAAGTACTCAGAGCCCAGGCACAGAAAAATATCTAGCCTCAAGAGTAAATCAGTACAATAAATAGTAAATAACCCTCATAATTAGAAAACAAGGGGCAAAAGTGAAAACAGCAACCAGCTGAGTACTCCTCTGGTGCCATTGCACAATGTGCCTTCCTGTCCTGCACATCCACACAGGCCACAGAACGTTTTGTCCTCCTGGGGTTGTCCAGAGTTGACCAACACCACAGGAGCACAGCAAACCACCTCTGGAGGAAGGGGAGAGGACAGGCTGTCAGCCATCCAGGCTTCACCTCCATCCTTGCAAGAGCAACAGCTCTTTTCTTGTGTTGACAGACTAAGAACAGAGCCCTTCATGATTCATCTCTCCGGCAGCAGCAAACACCGATGATCGACCTGGAGCAGGGCCAGACTTTTGATCAAAATCGCCTCAATAGCGAGAAAAATATATTTTTTTTTTCCCCTCAGCAGGAAGTTTGCTGCTAAAAATAAAGGGTGAGGAGAGAGGGGTTATTTTCCTGCCAGCTACTGAAAATTAAAAATATTGCAGTGAACCTTTCACATATTCCTTCGGAGTCAGCAGGTCGTGCATCCCCAGGTTTCCGTGCTCTGTTCCCACCACAGCTGACTCCTGCAAAGAGCCATGGCCATCATCTCCCACAGGTCCCAGGCCAGCACCCTAATCAAAGATATACTCTCCTGGCTCCCCTTGGAGTGTTTTTCCCAAGGGTGACAGAACCACAGAATCCCAGAACGGTTTGGGTCGGAAGGGACCTTAAGGCTCAACTCGTTCCAACCCCCCTGCCATGATGTGCAGCATCAACCTCATCTCCCACAGCCAAAACCAGATGCCTTCCTGCTGTCTCTTCCATCCTTACCTGATCCCAGGAGCACACAGCCCCCCAGCATTCCCCCGGTTCTCTCCACTGTTCTCCAGCCGATTTATTTACAGTGCCTTGTGACCAAATCTGCCCCAAAATTTTGCTTTCAAACCTAAAGCAACAAAATCTCGCCCTGCATGAGTAAGCCCGCTCTCACCTGCCACCCACGCTGCCCCAGCTATTCCTTTTAGTATCAACAGCTTTACAGAAAACAGACCTGGGGTTTATCCACCCAGGCACTGAAAGCAGTGACAGAAAGAGAGAGTCTGGGTGCTGCAGAGAGTGCATGGCCCCTCTGAAGGGAGATTTCTGCTGGGGAGGGAGGAAAACGGAGGGTGGAGGGGGTGACACCATGGGCACCCCCTTCTCCAGGAGTTGGGATGTTCAGGAGAGCCGTGGGAGCTGCAGGATTACCCTGGGAGACCTGCTCTGCACTGATGGCTTCAATAATGCCAAAATGGGGGGGATGGAGTGGGGAACCAGCCCTGGGAGCAATCCCACAGCTGGATGGTCACTGGTGCTCGTTCCACGCTGCTCTTTCCTCCCCAAAACCAGACAGAAAACATTTCAAGCCGCAAACCTTCCCACTGGAGTCAAGATTTGTGTCAGTGAGCCCCGTAATTTCCAGAACAGGATCTCAGTAATAAAGGAAACCTGAACCTCAGCCCCCTGAGACGACCTCGGCGTTGGGTTCATTACCAGGATTACGTTTGTTTAGGAAACCTGTTCTTTTTTTCCAAAACGTTGAAGCTGCGCAAGCCCACGAGACCCTGTGGCTGCTGCGGGATGGAAAATCCTGCCTGTGCTTCACACCTCTGAGCTCTGGGCGTGTTGGTGCCGTCCACGTTTCCTCCCTGTGCACGCAGGCGTGAGGCACTGCCGGGCTGTGAGCTCACTGTTTTGGAACTCAGCAGCTGAAGACGCAGCTCCTCCCGGCTCGGCTTCCGCAAGGGAAGACCAGAGGAGGACTCTCAAGCTCCAGCTCTCTCCTCGCAGAACCTCTGTGGGATTTGACCCCCACTGCTGTACTTGCCCACCCCGGCAGCCCCTCAGCTGCTTAGAGTCACAGAAGGGTTTGGGTTCAAAGGGACCTTAAACCTCATCTCATTCCACTCCCTGCCCTGGGCAGGGACACCTTCCACCAGCCGAGGTTGTTCCAAGCCCCATCCAACCTGGCCTTGGACACTTCCAGGGATGGGGCAGCCACAGTTTCTCTGGGCAACTTGTGCCAGGGCCTCCCCATCCTCACAGGGAAAAATTTCTTCCCAATATCCAATCTAAACCTGCTCAGTTTGAAGCCATTCCCCTTTGTCCATACTCTTGTGAACAGAGCAGGGATGCGCAGGAGAACCATGAGAGTTGTGGCAGGACCATCCTGCTTCTTCCCCAAAATAAGCAGGAGGAGGATGAGGAGACCACTTCCTCCAGCTCCCAGCAGCCCCAAATCTCAGCACAGAGGTGACAGCAGGGACCGTGCACAGCTGGTGGCAGC